CTTTGGATTTTCGCTGTTGAAATCGGGGCAGGGTGTGCAAAAAATGGGAATGGCAGTAACGGCCATAAACCCCACGACAGCGGTGTTACCTGTTTAAATAAAACCAAACAACAGGCCGCTCTTGCAATGGGTGTAACAACCAATTTTGAGACATTTTTCGCGTTTTTGGGACTCACTGGGAGAGCACTTGGACACCTTAATTGCAGCAATTCCCAAACTATTTCAGGATGCAAGTGAAACATTCAGTTGCAGTGGTTTCCAAAATGGTTTTTAGTCTGTTTTAGACAGTTAGTGCATCTTGAAGATTTTTTTTGCTTTTTGAACCGAGGAGCTGCAGCCCCACCGAGTTTTTGCCTGGCTCTGTGTTTTATTTACTCCAAAGGGCCTGAACAAAGCTGGATTTTCCTCTCTAAACAAGCCAGGCCAACGGGCTGGGATCATTTCCCCTCCTCGGCTGCGCACACGACGGAATTATTTCATTTTTACATCGCGGCGGGGCAAACCTCCCTTCCCTTCGAGTGTTTGCTCAGTGAAATGGGCTCTGGTTTATGTTCAGAGCCCCAGACAGACCCAAACCCCGGCTGACAYAACGCAGAGCTGCTCTGCTTAATTAGCTGGAGATCAGGGCGTTATTAAAAGCCTTTTTCCCCCCCTCCTTCCCGGCTGTTGATTCCTCCCTCCCCGAATTTTACAAAGGCAGCTCAAGAGGAAGTCGTTTCCTGCTAAAGGAAAGGGTTGAGCGAGGAGAGTAAATCAGAAACCAGCGCTTGGCCGGCGCTTTGGGGAAGGGAAACCGGACAAACCCCAAAAATCCAGCCACGTTTCTCCTGTCCCTGTTTGCTTTTTGCTGCGTCGAGGGGGAAGGGGCACAGCCAGGAACCGCGGCCGACATCTGCTGCTCGTTTCTTTTCGGGGAAACACAACCTGGGGCCAGCTCGGCCGGGAGGGAGCTCAGCAGCGGGTTTTTTGGGGTGTTTGGGATCGCCCCGTGACCCTGTGGCAGCGGTCACCTTTTCCTCTCGCAGCCCTTCTCCCCGGCAGCGCTCTGTGGTGACAGCTCCCCTTGTGCCCCTCATGGCCCTGTCGCTGCCCCGTTCCCACAGAGCAAAGCCACACTGGTTTTTAGGGTCATTTCCTCCCCAAAATGGGGCACATACCATCACTGCCTCGCTGGAAGTGCCATCTTTTTGAATTTCCGTTCGGTGACCCCAAACCCAGCGCCATCCCCACCATCCCACGCCACTTTTCCCCGAGCAAACCGAGGAGAAGGAACGGCTACCTACCCCTGGGGCAGCTGGGCTAGCCCGGCCCGGCCGGTGGCTAGTGGGAGGCCGACATGGACCACGCTCCCTCCATCCTCCACACGGAGAAGGCGTAACTGAGCCTCTCGTGAGCCACGTAACTGCAGCTGGTCATCTTACTGTCCATCTCGTCGCTCTGCAGCACCTGGTACAGGAAGTCTATGTAGCGCGCCGCCAGCTTGAGCGTCTGGATTTTGCTCAGCTTGTCCGAGGGCAGCGTGGGGATGATTTTCCTCAGGGCGGCGAAAGCTTCGTTGAGCGACTGAGTCCTCTGCCTCTCGCGGACGTTGGCCAGGATCCTCTGGCTCTGCAGTTCTTCGTAAGATTGCGAGCTGGGGCTGGACTTCTTGCCCCTCTTGCCCGGGTTGGGGCTGCCATCTTCGCTGGATTTCTTGCTGTATCTTCTCTTCCTGCCAAATCGCTTTGGCTGCCTCTCCAGCTCCTCTTCGCTGGTCCCCAAGCTGTCCACGGGGGAAACGGGAGAACTGGAGCTTTCTTCCATGCTCTCTGCGAGAAGGGGAGGGGAAGAGCCTTTCCCCCCCTCCTTATGTTATGTGTGCGTGTGTTTCTTAAATGTGCTTAAAATTCCTGAGACAGAT